AGAAATTATCTCTTTTTGAAATAAATCTATATATACACATATATATATATATATATACATATATAACATATATATATATATAATATATCATACATATTAATAATATATTTGGATAATAAAATAATCTAAAATTAATAACGATAACGAAAATATAATTTGCCACTAAAATTAGAAATTAATTATTTTTACGATATTCTATGAAACTAATCATTATATAATAATTTGCAAGAGTTTTCAAAATACAACGGGAGACTATATTCAAAACGAACAACGGATGATTGTTTAAACCATTTATTATACGCTTAGTGATTAAACAATATGTCACACGACGTAGTTACAGAGATATTACCGTTTAAAGTTATTTGAAATCGTACGTCGAGCGATTCCTTTTCGAAGCAGTCAGTCGTTAAAATGTGTTCCTTAGTATTAGGAAGGAGTCCCGCTGAACGGATTCTCACACATCAGCGGGATCTCTTCATTCAACGGCGCTGAATGATGCGTTCGTTGAGTGCCATTCGCAGTACGAGGGATTATTCCCGTCGAAAATGCACGCGATACATGGCCACTGGGGACGCCTATTGCCTGGATAATGAATTAATGGAGGACAGAGGTAAATGAAACAAGTATTGAAACCCGCAGCACACCGCTGACTGCCAGATACCGCCGCCTATCTCCATTTTTTACCCGTTGACAGGTTGAAAAAAAATTTAATCCGGCCTATAAATTTTTCTTTCGTAATTATTCGCGGTATATTTGATCACCCCGCTTAATTGAACCAATCATTCTGAAAGGGCATTAAGTTATAAAAAGTGAAACGAGAAACGCCGATCCGTTTTTATCTAGTGACACGAGTCCGCTAGATCGAAACGATGTAACGCGGATTTTGTTTCTCAGCAAAACGCCAAAAAAGTATCAATCATCACAAGCGGACAGTGGCATGACCGCCACTTTTATTTCGCGAGGCAAGTCTAGTAGATCGCGGCGATCTAGTGCGGATTTTGTGTTTCTCCGACAAAACGCAAAAAAAAAAAATGTAGCAATCATCAAAAACGGACAACGGAGCATGATCGCATCAGCTCGCTGCTTCGACAGCGAATAAATCCAACGCGCGACATATTTTCCACGATATTTCACCGCTGAAATTGCAAAAAAACGCGGTACCAGAGCGGAAGGAAAAAAACGCCGGGCCGGAGAGGAAGGAAAAACAATGGGAGCGTTTCGTGGAAATCGCGGAAACCAGAGCATCGTTGCGTAGAACTGATACGCAACTCACCGGGGCAAATCTCATCGGGGAGAAGCTGTGTGTTATTCCTCCTCTTTTTTTTTGACGGCGCGTATTATTAATATCAAATCTTTCTACCACCTGTTTCTGCTCACAACGAGCGTTGCCCCAAGGTTAAATGCGAACAGCGCGCTGCTGCATGCCCGACGATGCGCTGTGGGAAATCCGCTGGGAAATGTTCCTCGCAACTTGTAGCCGGAAACACGATCTCTCGTGAATGTTGGGTATAACTAATTTCGACGTTATAAACAAGGTCAGCGGCGCAGCGACGGTGGATAATATCGTTAGGCTGCGCTGCATCACGCCAGGATTATCGCGATTAATTATGTGCGCCGGTTACGTAGACCGAATATACAAGATTATTCTCTGCGAGAGAGTCGCTTACATTCGGCTGTGCGGCTTGAATTTACTGAAGTCGTGTCCGCGCGACCGAGAGGGGAGAATTGCGGCGCTATTGAAAATGCGTACGCACGCTTTAACGTACGCATTCCGAGATATTTTGAATAGGTCGACGTTAATGATAATGCATACTTCACGACTGTTGAATTTAATTATTAAAATAGAACTTGTGTGCGCGATAATTTTTTTAATTTTCCAACAATATTGGAAAACCATTTTTCATATTATATGATTTATACGTACACTTATTAACCTTTAAACCACCAAGCCCAAAAAAATCACACTAACCACAATGTCGGTCTGACAGACCGATATTATACTCTCGCTAATTTTATAAGTTAATTATAATAAAAATATATGTTTTCTGAATACATATTGATGGAGAAAAGGAAAACTATGTTTTAGTGTGAGGGTTAACAAAAAAATCTCATATACAATAGAAATAAACTATATTTAAATTGGAACAAATAAGAAAATTGTTGACAAATAACGTTTCAATAGCGGTCTGTGAGACCGATAGAGTTGTTTAAAGGTTAAGCTTCTAAATTTTTTGTCTTCACGAAATTCTACATTAGATCTGTCTTTTCCAATTTTTCGTGCCGGTATTATTTTATCTTAGAAACATTTAAACTGCAATTTGCGATAAAAAGGATGGATGTCTCTTGCGTGGAATATGTAAAACAACTGTACAATAATATCCAAATGAAACATATACGGAAACCGAAACTTACTGCTATCCGTTACATTCTTCACAATAAACGTATCCTCCAAAAACACGTAACGCTAAGAAAAGTTTGTAAAGTCAGTTAATTAATTCTTTCCCTTCAGCGGTAGTCGGCTCAAGTTCGTCCGCGTAGCGCCAACTTCCGGGTGGATGCTGTGCATTAAATCCGGTGATTCCGGCAGTCTGCAGTTTACCGTCAGCTTTAGAACGAACTTTCGAAAACACGCAATATATATACTTGGCAACTTTGTCGGCCCGGCGCGCGGCGCGCTCTCGTCTGTTCGCGCGACCGCGCGGCTCTACAATTTTTCATCGGCGCGCATCGGCGAGACGGCGGGTGTGACGAGGGCAATAATCAAGATTAACAAGTTCTAAACTGCGTAATTTGTCAGTGTCAGTATCTCGCGCGCGAGTTGAACGCGGCGGAAGGGTTATCGGCAGTCAGCGCTTGCACTTTCGCTCGCGCAGGGTGCACGCGCGTGCAAGGTTAGCGGCTTCAGTTTCGCGCAAGGTCGCATCATGGAAACCCAGAGCAAGCACAGATTGTAACTGCAATATTGCAGCAACATTGTAACCTAGGCAGACATCATCGATCCATAGATGTCGATTCGACGTCTCATCGTCTATAGACATCGAATCAATATCTATAGACATCGAATCGATATCTATGGACCGATAATGTCTGCCTGGGAACATTCCAGCTATATTGCACAAATATTACAATACTGCTGCAATATTGTAGTTATATACCTAATCTGTGTTTGCTGGGAAATTATACCGACGCGACGCGGGCGAGGTGATGTGGGTGCAGCGGTCCGAAAATATCATTCCTGGCCTGGTCGTGGCATCGCAGGTAGACCGATTAAATAATTACCATTTTTTCGGGAAAGCGCGGCGGGCACGGCCCGCACTCTTCCGCTGGCGTCACAGTCACAAATTAAAATAGATCGCTCGGTAGTACGTACGGTATTTCGCTCATTTCATCGAGAAGTTTCCTATGTATAGTATACTCAAAACAAAGGAACACCGTTTTATATTCTTTCTCGAGTATTGAGCGAGACAGTGAGATGTGTACTGAGCGCATGTCGCATCTAATTAGGTAGTCGGAGATAAAATAAGCGACATGCAGCGTACAGTGTCCTTATTACCGTTATTACGTATAATGTTACTTAAACCGATCGCATCGTTTTTCGACGCTCGATAGAGACTTCGTATAGAGTGAATTCGTCTCGAATTTATGGATTGCTCCTGCATATAATAAATTTATATGCATACTTTCAGTCCTTTTCAAATAATAATCTTTTTAACGATAAATATTTAAATTTACAGATAACAACCAAATTGTTATTTCAAAAATATCACGATGTAATTACTTCTATTTTAATGAGCTTATAACTTCTTCACAAGCGCAAACACTTTGGCTGTTGTGATGCGAACGGTTTAAAATCCTTTAGCACTGGCTTTCGGTGAGCTGTTAATTATAAAAAGAATGTTGGCACACGATAATTTCGCATCCTGGAACGTATAATAAATGTTCGCTTATGCATGCGCGCGCGCACGTCCTTCTACAGAACACATAGTAGCAAGTTCAGTTTGTTTAGTCTCGACGTTACTTTCACTCGTGTCCATTTACCATTTATCAAAGTGTTGCACGGAGCCACCGAGGGAAGGGCGGTAGGTAATATTGCACCCAGACTTTCGTTAAACCGTCGTTAAACGCGCCACTCGCCCAGTAAAGTATCTTAGGCCGCCCGTGAGAAAAGACGGTTACTTTCGTAACTTCGCGGAGCCACGTATTTCTTCCGCGGCGTATTTACGACACGTAAGTACCTTCCCCAAGTCGAACGAAGCAGAGCCAGCGGTAACCGCGCGCGATTAACGATGCCCCCGTCGCGGCGACGAATGCATCATCGTCGTTTACTTTAATGCACCGTCGAGTGCGATCGTCGACGCTCGTACATCGCGCGGGGCTTATGATGCATCGCGCGCGGACAGCTTTGATCCGCGCGCTATCGATCTTACTTTCGCGCGCGCGTCACAAGTAGGAGGAGGACCAGCGCGCAACATTGCACGTATACATACGCGGGCGAAGTATCTGTCGCGCGCATGATTTTCCTAAACGATTTAAACTTAACGCTAAATTACGTAATGTATCACGTGTATGCCCGGTACGGAGTACGAAATAAATCTCCCGTACAGAGAGTCTCTCCCCCAAACAACTGGCATATTCGTATATATGTACGTATCACGTCACATTCACATACACGCGCGCACAGAGGTTCCAATTCATCAAAACACTCGGTACTCTTCGTGCTATGCGTATTTAGTCCGGATTCGGACGAGTTCTGTCTTCGTCTACTTCCATCGCAAGCACGCGGAGTCATGGACGATCGATCGTGAATACGATCTTAGCGGGAGTTAATCCGGCGCTCCCGATCCCGTCCGCTTCTGCATTACGACCTAATATTTCTCGTTCCAACATGTGACACGGAATGTAAGCGATCGATCGAACAGAAGAATGGATGATATAGTGTGACTCATACGGAAGTTATGGTGGCACTTTATTCCAGGCTAGCACTCAACCTATTTTTTTTGCGCCCGACGGATGACCGTTCAAATACATGCGCAAACAAGATGTGCTATCATTATTATATACTTTTATTATATTGGTTCTCTGCTGGACACGCTGCTTCCCGATCGGAAATCTTCGATGGTATATACACAGACCATCGAGCACACGATGATCGATCACTACTAATCTCATAGTGATGATGACAATTATCCTGCTTTGCATTAGCATATTACGTTGTTGCATATTCCACGTTGAACTATGATTAGACGTGCGTATAATGGATTAAATGGATTTGCCTCCCGGTAACGCAAATAATCACAGCTGATCTTTCGGCGCAGCTACTTTCCCCGGCAGCGTATAAGGTTGATCGCATTGAATGGATAAGTAATCAATCACAGCCAATCCCTGCAGCTCCAAAAGTTCCACGGTGCCACCACATTCCGATAACAATCTTTAAACTGGAACCACCATAACCATAACCGTCGTTCTACTAACTTCGGCGAAATTAACTAAAGCCACAAATCCTCGCACACGAACATGGATATCACGCGACACAATAATAAATGACAATATTACATAATTTCGCTAACACACTCCGCGAGTTTTTTTTTCTTTTTTTCTCTTCACGAGTCTCTTGCACTTACGCATGTCACAAGCTCCAGTTCGTCTGCAGAGCCAGCTTGAGCGTGATGAACGTGGTGAGCAGCGCGGTGCAGGCCATCACCGACGGCGACGACGCCATGCTGTGTTGCATCGCGGCCGGATTGTCGCCCTTGAAGACGTGCACCACGACGCGCGCCGGCTGGGCATTGCTGGCCTCGCAGGTGTAGTTGCCCGAGTGACGATCCGACGCCCTTGGCACCTCCAGCCAGCTCTCCCGGCTGGTGAGATCGGTGCTAACGTTGACGCCTTGCTCAACGTCGTAGTTGATCATGCGGAAGTTGTGATACCAGAAGAGGTACGACGGCACCTCCGTGGATTTCTTCACCAGGCAGTGGAGCTGCAACGTGCTGCCAGGCCTCACGAATTTCTCCGTCGGGCCGGCTATCTCCGCTCTGGCTTCTGCAAATGGCCGAACGTGACACGTGAGACGTGAGCCGTTCATAGTTCCCGGCTAGACATCGGGGCATTGTTTACTATCATGGGTATGTGAAAGCCTGTCCCGAGGTCGGGAGGAGGGAATATAGCTTGTGTAAGAGCGACAGGATCTCGGACACGTCCCGCCCAGGGTTTCTCAAACGCCGGGATTAGGAAACTGGCGTAGTGAACAATTATTCGAAAAAGAAAAGCTCACGCAGTTTACATTTAAAAATGAAACTTATTTAAAATGTTGTACGAAACGTAGTAAATAATAAGCAATTTTTTTTCTGTGAAATTGTTTACATATATGAAAAGTAATAACTTATTAGAAATCTTATTTCCATTATAATTATCCTTCAGTCGAACGAGAATATGCTTTTCAACAAGTTTTAAAGATTAAGTTTTAAGATGAGCTATATATCGAACCAAAGAAATATAAACAAACGATAATAATCTTTAATATATTCTTTTGTCGAATTTAGCTCTTCCACAATTAGTTATATCATTTTTGTACTTTAATAACTTTGATATACCTGCAAACATCTCCATCGTAATTTGGCAATCATTATGACTGACTGTCGTAATTTGCTAATGGCTATAATAGAATACTTCACTGACGTGGGAAGCTCCAATGATATTTAGTCTATGAGATTTGCACATAGTAGGCAATTGATATAATTGCCATACAACGGGGGGTGATTTATCGGAAACGATGATAGTATGTTTTATCCAATAATATCAGAATTAACACGTGAAATGTGTATGTGTACATGTTTACAAACAGTATTTGTATGAAAGCAGTCCGATTGCATAATTAACCTTTCAGGAGCAAGCAGATCCGCATGTTGCTATTTCCATTAGCTGAGCATCAAATTGCATTTATGACACTTGGGTATCAATCATAAGGATTGACAGGAAGGATCAATTGTGATTTCGACGTGCATTTCGTTGTGAAAACAAAAATATGAATCCTTTTTTTTGTTTAAATAATTAAACTTTCAACTGTTAAGTATTTGTGGTAAAAAAAATCCTATACTTGTTATCTTGTTACCGGGAACGAAAGAAATTTAAAATTTCGCAGATCTAAGGAGTCTTTTTGCCGGACAGTATGAGTCAACGAAACGCGTTTACCACCGTGATTAATTACCCGGTAAGAGCAACTCTCTCTCTCTCTCCCTCTCTCGAGGTAATTAATTTCTCGAACAATTCACCCCATTGAGTAAATTGTCTATTAATTAAGTATTCAATTAGGTGGTGTTCTATGGAACAGTATGTCCCGCAGAACACTTTTTCCTCCGTAGAATAGTTGTCACATGCAATCAATATTACTATTCACGGAAATCCTAATTTATCGGCGACTTAATGCGCGGCAGAGTGGCAGATACCGCTATTTCTATTCGAACCGCGTAAAACAACTGCGCCAAGAGTATTATTATAATTTTCATAATCGGCTTTAGTGGCCTTAATTACTTTATCAGTTGCCATTCAGTGTAATGCACTATATTTCCTAGAACAATCACCTCGAAGAGATTATTAATTTGATTAAACAGCCGATATTCGATATTCATTTACGCTAGTCATAGAAATTTAATACATTCTATTACCATTTAAAAGCTGTTTATTTTACTTGGAACTTTTAATAAAGCTATTTAAATAAAAATGATACAGATGCGCGTAACGAAGATTGAAAATCGCGTATGTATCGTATATCGATAATACCTTACACTGTCACGGATTATCGTCACGTATCGCTAATCAATCGAGAATGGAATCAATCATGTGAGAGGATAATCTTTTTTTTTTATATCTTTCCGTTACCGATTGTTGTGCTTCTATGGAATTTTAACAGGCTTCATCGTAAATTGAAACCGTTTATTCTTTCCTCTGGACTGTCTATATTGATTTGTAAGTCGATAGTATTGTGAGTAGCATATGACACAGAGCTCTCAAAATATTTAAACCGAACGGAAACATTGCATTGATAAATTCACGATTTGAATGTAGCGTTTCAAAGTGATTACAAACACATGATATGAGCTTGATACTTTGACAGCTGTACATTTCGAAAAAAATTTACGTCCGCCGCTGGTTATCTATATTTCTGCGGAAACACTTCGTATTAGATGTCGAACAATTTCAGCTATTGATTAATTTTTCAAAACGCTAGTAGTAATAGTCTGGTGGAATTTTTAAAAATATATTAGTGACGTGTCACATCGAGAATGACGTATCTCTTTTTATCGGCGATGAATCTGCTTGCATTTATGTGGAGCAATAAATAAAAGGAAAGTGGGACTTTTATATAAAAATTCATGCATAACACAAACAGTGGATGTCTCTCTAATATTGTATTCACAGCCAGAAATGATTAGTTGAATTGACGTTGATTCGATGTCGTTGAATAATCAATGTTGAATGATTATCTAAATGATTATCTAAAGCAACTACAAATATTTCTATAAGATTTCTATTGTTTTTTCGGGCAACTCTGCATAGAATCAATGCAAAGTCGAAAAGCATAGATACATATGTACTGTGTAATATGTATTCGACGTAGAATTGGTTAAAAGATAAAAAGAATGTACACATATTTGCAATTAACCAATTAACATCAAGAACAATTGTAATAAGGTCAAAGATGACAAAAATATCGATCAGTATTCGACATTGATCACTTATCAATTCAACGGCCTCGATTCGAGTCGATTTGATTAATCATTTTGATTGGGTTTCTGCATAGCATATACGATTATATTTTCTATTTTGACGTTTGCATTTTTAATTATATATAATTTAAATCTTTTATTCAATCTTATCATATTAATGTTATTTCACACATTATGTACATTACTCTTATTACAATTCTATATAAAATTTTGAATAATCACTTTAAATAGTCACTTTGAATAATAATAACAATATTATATGATACGGTCGAAAGTATCATTTGTCACGAGCATCGGCTGAATTTTCCGTGATATATTGAAAATTTTGAAGGAGGCTTCTGATCCTGACTTTGAGAAATACTGTCGGGATGACTCACGTTCTGCGGTATCTCGAGCACGAGGGGCTCCGCGCGAATTTTAAGTCCGCTCACGCCCGGGCGCGTTTCACCCTTTCACTCGACACGACCTGACACGCCGCGCGGCGGTGGTGGCAGCGGCGTCGGCGGCGGCGGGGCATTATAGGATCAGGTGTGTGCGGGGGAACACTGTAAACACGCCGCCAACACCCGCACCAGACCAGTTCAGATACGCTTTTACTAGTAGCCGACTACTGTCACGGTCGAGCGGCCGCAAACGATATGTCGAGATGTGATTCGAAACGTTTGCGCGCGATCTGAGGGCTCCCCTGCGCAGAGTGAATGGGCGTCGATTCCTGTGGGAGCTATTGCAGTTTCAAATCGCTAGAGCGTGCGTCCTTGCGTCCGACGCTTGCCTGAACAATTTTTTGACAGCTTTTACGCAGGTCACCCACAGACTTTGTCGCGACAAAGGATCCCGATCCGCGTCGTTCCTGTAAAATGCGGCCTGGATATGCTGCGGGCTCACAGAATTTCTCCCTTTTACTGTTTATTATAGATTTCTTGCTCCCGAAAACGATCGAAGACGACGAAAAGACTGATTTTCATGATCCATATGGTACACGATACAAAATATGTTAATATACGAAAAAGTGCATTCTCACTTTTTGTGATATTCAACTCAACTTTGTATTTATACAAAGTAAAAAAGCGGAACTTGAAAATATCGCCTAATTGACAAAACTGGTTCAAAATTAGCCCAAATTGGCGAAATATATCAAATAAAAAATTTATAAATACACAATTCATTACATAAGTAATTTCCTCTTATGAGAAATTATAAAAAAAAATCAAATCAAAGTCAATAGCAAGTCTACGAACACGGATGTTTGTGCAATAATATATAATTAAGCTTTTAACGCTTTCTTAATTAAATCCTTCGTGCACTTCTCATTCAAACTAGTTTCGACTTTCAAAGTTCTCCTTAACTGCCGATAAAAAAATTAATTGATTTTAAAAAATGCTAAAGTATTTATACTCTACAAAACTAAAAAAATATGTGATATCTATTAAAAAACGTATTTCTTGACGATACAGCACCTATTCAGACAGAATGAATAAATACAAAATTAATTAAATAATAATTGGCTCGTTTATAAAAAATTATAAAAAATCGTTATGTGTGATAACACAATTACACTTTACGCATTTTTAATGTTTTCCAATTGAACTTTTTTACACTCTAATTATTTCTTACTCAAAGTCTGATTTCCAAGAGATTCTCTTTATAATTATACCAATAAAAAAATTAACTGATTTCAAATGATGTTAAAGTTTTGTTTTACAAAATTAAAAAAAACCGGCTGATGATAGCTATAAAAGTAGTAATTATTCGGCCAGTTTATCCAGACAGAATAGATAAATATAAAATTAATTAATTAAATAATAATTGGCTCGTTTATAAAAAAAATTATTGAAAGTCAATACAAACGTATGTACAGATATGCAATAATACAATTATACTTTTTATGCATTTTTAATGGTTTCCAATGAATGAATTGAACTCTTTGTACTTCAATAACTCTTCAGCCGAAACTAGTTATCCCATTTGATGATTAAAAAAAAATGAATCAGCCGCACGTTTACAGATTCGTATTACGTTTTGATTAAATTTACAAAAATTTTCCTGTTCAAACAAATTTATGCGTCTGTATTTATCTCTTTTTACTTATATATAATAAAATAATATTTATAAAAAATATTGTTTTTAAAAATTAGTAAAGCAGAAAAGAAAAAAAAAGTAAAATTAATACTTTAAGTGATTTTAATTCTATATAAATTCGTATTTCACTTACAAGTTTATATGCAAACAAATTTATTTGTGAAAGCCTCTCGGCTCGAACTAGCTTATAATTTTACGTTAATTAACAATTTATACTGTCGCAAAAATATCCAACGA